AGCAAAGATTAATTATGATATGAAAGGACCGGATGGCTTTACTCGTATCGCCTTGAGCGTCTTCTACGAGACACGGACGAAACGGTTTCGATTTTCCTGACCTGATACCTCATTGTCTCCGTTGGTATGCGTATCCCAGTTCATAGAGCATATGTTACTTATTTAGGAATTTGTACTGAGCAATATCGCTATTATGTTTCCTTAGTCCCGCGTGCTTGTTTGTAATGTAAAAGACGATTTCTGTAACGTAAAATTGTGTAATGTAATTAAGTCTGTATATATAGTTGTCTCCCGATTTGAATCTATGTATTCTCATTATTCTTTCTTTATAACAAATAAATAAAGTTTCCTAACGTCTAGATAAATCCATTCATTATATGATAAGAAAAAAAAAACTTACGCGACATTTTTGGGCAGTTTTACACACAAACAGCCGCTGATATCTCTCGAAATAATACAAATGTAATCCTTAAATCACCCGCTATCACGACCACAGGTAAATAATTCAGCCTTTCAGTAGAAAACGACAAACCAATTCCAGGCGTATGAAATCACCTTCCATTACGACGTAACAATATGTATATATATTTTTATTATCATTATTATCATATTTTGGGGGAATCGTTTCTCATCTCACGTTATTAAACTTGTAACTGGATTTGATGTATATATTTTACGGTGGGGTGAGAGGAGAGGGAAAGGGAGAGAGTGGGAGAGAGGGATGGTGAGAGGGAGAGAGAGAGTGAGATAGAGAGGAAAGGAGAGAGATAGAGAGAGAGAGAGAGAGGAAAGGAGAGAGAGAGAGAGAGAGGAGAGGAGAGAGAGAGAGAGAGAGACAGACAGACAGACAGAAACACATAGAGAGACAGAAACACATAGAGAGACAGACAGACAGACAGAAACAGAAACAAATACAGAGAGAAGAGAAGAGACGAGAAGCAAACAACCAACAAGACAACAAGTGAATAAGAGAAACCTCCGATAACAACGCCCAAGAAATCAGCTCTGTGTTCATCACCGACCGACGTGAATGAAAATGACCGACGCACAAACGCACACACCGGAATTAAACAGGCAGAGCGATTTCATAACGAAAGCTTAACCCGTTGATTTGATTCATACCGATGACGTCACTGTTCGCTGAAATTATATATGCTTATGACGTACTTCCGGCAAGGTATCTCGTTGGACTTGTTGGTTATGATCAGTGCAAGAGAACTGCATATAGTATTGCACAAGAACGATTGTAGTTATAGTAATTGGAATGGTAATGATAATAAGAATGATCATTATAACAGCAGTTGTATCTTTAATAATAACAATGATAATGGTAATGGTAATAATAATGATAACTGATGGGGATGATGATGTGAAAGATGATAATAATAGTAATAACAATAATAATAATAATAGTAATGATAACAATTTTAATAATAATAATAATAAAATAACTATCATTATTATTATCATTATTATAATTATCACTATTGTTATCATTATTATTATTATTATTATTGTTATTATTACTATTATGACTATGATGATTATGATTATTATTATCAGCCTCATTATTATTATTGTTATCACTATTATCATCATCGTAATAGCGACAGTAGTTATCATCATGATAACTGAGTAAGCCAAGACTGAAGAGTTAAACGCATTTTTTTCTTTTTTTTTCTTTGTTTTCTGAGGGGGAGGGTATTTATCTTATTTATTGCTTGAAAGTAATTTTATATTTGATATGTAGATATCTAAGTTATCTGACGGTAAAGACTTTTAAGTGTTATAAATTTCATTCTTTAATATCCCTTTCCTTTTCTATTTCTATTTCTCTTTCTCTGTTTTTTTCTTCTTCTCTCTCTCTCTCTCTCTTTTCTCTTTATTTCTCTCCATTTCATATTCCTTTTCCTATACCTTCTTTTTTTTTTCTTCTCTTTCTCCTACTTCTTCTCTATTTCTTTCTACTCCTCCTCTTCCTCTTCCTTTCTCCTCCTCCTCTTCCTTTCTCCTCCTCCTCTTCCTCTTCCTTTCTGCTCCTCCTCTTCCTCTTCCTTTCTCCTCCTCCTCTTCCTCTTCCTTTCTCCTCCTCCTCTTCCTCTTCCTTTCTCCTCCTCCTCTTCCTCTTCCTTTCTCCTCCTCCTCTTCCTCTTCCTTTCTCCTCCTCCTCCTCCTCTTCCTTTCTCCTCCTCCTCTTCCTCTTCCTTTCTCCTCCTCCTCCTCCTCCTCCTCCTCCTCCTCCTCTTCCTCAGTCTGTTTCTCCTCCTCCTCCTCCTCCTCTCCTCCTCCTCCTCCTCCTTTCTGCTCCTCATCCTCTTCCTTTTTCCTCCTCCTCCTCCTCCTCCTCCTCCTCCTCCTCCTCCTCCTCCTCCTCCTCCTCCTCCTCCTTACTGCTCCTCCTCCTCTTCCTCTTCCTTTCTCCTTCTCCCCCCACAATCCATCTCATCCCCTCCCTCAACGCCCCCTCGTCCATTAACCCCCCCCTCGTCCATTCCCGCCC